ATGCTTGTATATCTTTCATTTGGGGAAAAAAAACATAACACCTAGCTTTGATTTACATTTTCACAACAGACACTGCCCCAGTTTACAGGAGGAGGTACAGATGAATTCAGCTGTGTGTAAAAGAGGAGCTGGCAGTGTGTCAAACAGCTGATCAAAGACCAGTTAACTACCTGAGAGTGGGAGCTACAATAATTCATGAGATCTGCACTCAGGCTTGTCATTTTAATAATGAAATGTGACTTTAAATGTGACCATGTGGGTGGTGTGATACAGATGTGTGACACCTGAAGAGGTTGTCATCATGACAGTGTTGACTCACTGTTACTGTTACAAAAAATGAATGGCATACCATGTAATGTTTTTCTCACCTAGGCCATCACAGTGGTGTCCTGCCTGAACAAATCCACATCTTAATAACTTCATTCTGTCAATAGCAGTGGTCCTCAATTATTTTCTGTCATGCCCCCACTTGTGGAATAGACAAGAGGTTGTGGTCTGGCTTGGGTAAAAACCACTGGACAAATGTTAAAAATTCCAGTTGACACATTATAAACCAATTACTCCATGTATGAATGTTTTACTGTAAATCAAGAGAACTTGTGGACGTCAAAGCTTTTTGGAATCCAGTCCTTGGAACATTTTCTTACATTGTATCGTCAGTCTTTTATCAAGTGGCATCTCAACAATTAATCACCCTGAAGCTTCAAAATACGACTTTACTGGTTTTTTTTTTTACTGAATTTTTACGGCCATATCTGGGATCTAGGTGCCAAATTGGACAGACTAGCTGTTAATCAAACAATGGTTGTTTCTAATAGTATTCTTTCGTTTAAATTAAATCAGAGTTTATGGCTAAGACTAGAGATTTTTTAGGTTAAATGTTAATTATAATAAAAATCTAGTAGTTTAGCTTTAACTACTGGCTAAGAATAGTTATGGATTATCTACTGTTACCTTAAAGATACAGTATCAGGATGGTATTTCAACATAGGGCTCTCCAGATCAAACCTATTGATCACGTTTTATTGTTGTCAGTGCGTAATGAGCAGCCGTGTTATTATTTCACTGCTTGTTTTACCTTTTTTTTCTCCGAGGAGTATCATAGTGCAGCGTGCTTATCAAGGATGGAGCTTCTTTAACAACGGTTTGTTTTCTGGCCGCATCTTGCCCTTTATCGATCAGAGGAATCAATAAGAGTTTGAGGGAGTGCAACGTCTACTGTACCTCTGACATAT